CTATTGAATCATACTGAATTCTTATGGATAATTGGACAAGGATACTGACTACTTGTTACGAAAACCCAGTAACAGGCTGGATGCTAGAAGGGCAGTCCTTTCTAGTATTCACTGGAGATCTCTAAGCTTTTAGAATCGCGTTTTTTGTAACACCGCTATCTACCCAATACCTCCATCTCCCCATCTGCTAACTCCCCTACTCTGTTTTTAACTGACAAATCCATTCGTTCTTAACTTGTTTATCTCACTCCAAAAATTTTTCTTATTTTCATCAAAACTGACAGCGCCTCTCCCACTCTATCATCTGTTCTCTTTTTACACTCTCTCACCACTCTCTTCACCTTTCTTTTATTCTCCATATACTCTGCTCTTCTTATAACACTTCTGCTTTGTAAAAACCTCTCATAAGCTACCTTCTTCTCTTTTATCACACCCTTTACTTCATCATTCCACCAATCACTCGTCTTTCCTCCTGCACCCACTCTCCTATAGCTACAAACTTCTGCCCCACATTCTAATACACTGCATTTTTAAAATGATTCCAACCCTCTTCAACCCCCCCACTACTCATACTTGCAGTAGCCCACCTTTCTGCCAATAGTTGCTTATATCTCACCCGAACTTCTTCCTCCCTTAGTTTATACATTTTACCTCTCTCTTACTTGTTGTTGCCATTTTCCTTTTGTCCCATCTACCTCTTACTCTAACTGCAGCTACAACTAAATAATGATCCGATATATCAGTTGCCCCTCTATAAACGTGCACATCCTGGAGCCTACCCATCAATCTTTTATCTACCAATATATAATCTAACAAACTACTTTCGTTATGTGCTATATCATACCTTGTATATTTATTTAACCTCTTTTTCATAAAATATGTATTACTTATTACCAAACCTCTTTCTACACACAGCTCAATTAAAGGCTCCCCATTTCCATTTACCCCTGGCACCCCAAATTTACCTACTACTCCCTCCACAACATTTTTACTCACTTTAGCATTGAAATCCCAAACCACAAGTACTCTCACACTTGGTTCAAAACTCTCCACACACTAACTCAACATTTCCCAAAACCTCTCTCTCTCCTCTACACTCCTCTGTTCTCCAGGTGCATATACGCTTACTATAACCCAATTTTCACATCTAACCTTTATTTTACTCCTTATAATCCTTGAATTAATACATTTATACTCCCTCTTTTCCTGCCATAGCTTATCCTTCAACATTATTACTACTCCTTCCTTAGCTCTAACTATTTGAAACCCCAGATCTAATCCCATTTACTTCTCTCCACTGAAACTCTCCCACCCCCTTCAGCTTTATTTCACTTAAAGCCAGGACATTCAGATTCTTCTCATTCATAACATCCACAATCATCTCTTTCTTATCATTCGCAAAACATCCACGCACATTCAGACATCCCACTTTGACAATTTTCTTTTTCTTTTTAGTAATCTGTAGAGGAAAAGGGGTTACTAGCCCTTTGTTCCTGGCAATTTAGTTGATTTTTACAACATGTGTGGCTTATGGAGGAAAGATTCTTATTTCACTTCCCCATGGATATAAAAGGAAAAGTAATAAGAACAAGAACTTTTTTTTTTTTCAACAAACCGGCCATATCCCACCAAGGCAGGGTGGCCGAAAAAGAAAAACGAAAGTTTCTCTTTTTAATTTTAGTAATTTATACAGTAATTTATACTAGCCCCTTGCTCCCGGCATTTTAGTCGCCTCTTACAACACGCATGGCTTACGGAAATAAACAAGAACTAGAAAGAAAACCCAGAGGGGTGTGTATATATGTGCTTGTATGTACATGTATGTGTAGTGGGACCTAAGTTTAAGTAGAACTAGCAAGACGTACCTGTAGTCTTGCATATTTATGAGACAGACAAGATACCAGCAATCCTACCATTGTGTAAAACAATTACAGGGTCTCATTTTACACTCACTTGGCAGGACAGTAGTACCTCCCTGGGTGGTTGCTGTCTACCAACCTATTACCTATACATGTACATGTACATGTGCGTGTACGTGTAGTAAATAAAGATACAGTGGTACCTCAGGATATGAACAGCTAAAAACTCGAACAATTATGCAAGTGTATTTGTGTAAGTACTTCTGTAGGTGTATTTTTGAGGGTCTGAAATGGATTAATCTAATTTACATTATTCCTTGTGGGAACAAATTCGTTCAGTATTGGCACTCGAACAGCCTTCTGGACCGAAATAAATTCGTATCCCGAGGTACCACTGTACATATCATTATTATAATTTTTTTTTCTCTCAGTTGTTTGTTGGGCTATCTTAATGAAACTTGGGCAATGTATGATGGAAAGATGCTTCTTAACGTACACAAAAAAATGAAAGAAATCAGACCATAAATGACGGAGTTCACTTCTCAGCCATTAGCAGTCCCATAGAGGTATATTTTCGTATGGTTTTTATGGTTATATTCTTGTTTTTTGGTCTCATTTGATAGAATGGAAGATATATTACAGAAATAGATATGATTTTGATTGCTTTCAAGACAAAAAGTACCTTGAAATTGTGCTCACAGTAGCAGAAATGCTCGATTCTTTAGCGATGTTCAAGAGTAAATATGTGACGTCACCGTCTAACACGTGTGCGCCTGCCAGTCCAAATTCCAACACACAGTCAAGAATGGGTTGACATTATTTATACAATTATTACAATAATGCAGTAGTCTGTATAACAGTAAATCTTTCATTTTTTGTGTGAATAAAAATTCCAAATGGTAAGTAAGAGGGGCCAAGAGCCATGACTTGTGAAGAGAGAAAATGTTATTTTAGTGCCAAGAATGTCTGCATTGTTTATTCTGGGCCCTATTTTGGAATTGGCATCTATTGAAATTTGTGTGAAATTGGCCAAATTGCTAATTTCTGACCACTTTATTGGGTAGTTGAAATAGGTGAATGGGCGGTTTCTTATACTCAGTCGACAGACTAGAAGTCAGTAAATAAGTAAGTTTATTCAGGTATACACAAATACAGTTGCATAGATTATCATACATAGCAGCATATGTACAGAAAACGTAGGATAACCCAAAAAAAAGTCAAAGTGACTTATTTCCAGTACCTGGCTTGGGCTTGCCTTATATGATTTTTGGTAAATGTTTTTTTTCTCAGTTGTTTGTTAGGCTATCTTATTGAACCTTGGGCAGTGTATGATGGGAAGATGCTTCTTAATGTATACAAAAAAAAAAAGGACAATAAATAAGGAAGCATTTCTCAGCCATTAGCCGCCTCTTTGCGGTATATTTTCGTGTGGTTTTTATGGTTGTATTCTTGTTTTTTAGGTCTCATTTGATAGAATGGAAGATATATTACAGAAATAGATATGATTTTAATTGGTTTCTCAAAGAAAAGTACCTTGAAATTGAGCTCAAAGTAGCAAAAATGTTCGATTTTTGCTGATGTTCAATGAACTTTGTGCAAGTTAAGTTGGTTAATTTTATTAAGTGTATTATAACCTAACCACTCTGTAATCCGGCAAACTCAGTAATCCGGCACACTACAGGTCCCAGTGATGCCGGATTTGTGATGGAGGACCTGCAACCTCTTATGACATGCATAGCTTGCAGTAGTAGGTTGGCAGACAGCAACAGCCCAAGGAAGTACTACCGTCCTGCCAAGTGAGTGTAAAATGGAAGCCTGTAATTGTTTTACATGATGGTAGGATTGCTGGTGGGCTTTTTTCTATCTCATAAACATGCAAGATTTCAGGTATGTTTTGCCACTTCTACTTACACTTAGGTTATGCTACACTTGCATGTTTTTTTTTTTTTTTTTTTTTCAACAAGTCGGCCGTCTCCCACCGAGGCAGGGTGATATATCCACACCTCTCTGGCTTTTCTTCTATTTTCTTACTAGTTATTTCTTTCTTTCTTTCAACACACCGGCCGTATCCCACCAAGGCGGGGTGGCGCAAAAGGACAAACAAAAGTTTCTCCTTGTACATTTAGTAATATATACAGGAGAAGGGGCTACTAGCCCCTTTCTCCCAGCATTTTAGTTGCCTTTTACAACACGCATGGCTTATGGAGGAAGAATTCTGTTCCACTTTCCCATGGAGATAAGAGGAAATAAACAAGAACAAGAACTAGAAAGAAAATAGCAGAAAACCCAGAGGGGTGTGTATATACACATATGCTTGTACAAGTATGTGTAGTGTGACCTAAGTGTAAGTAGAAGTAGCAAGACGTACCTGTAATCTTGCATATTTATGAGACAGACAAAAGACACCAGCAATCCTACCATCATGTAAAACAATTACAGGCTTTTGTTTTACACTCACTTGGCAGGACAGTAGTACCCCCCTGGGTGGTTGCTGTCTACCAACCCACTACCTTTATTACTAGTTCTTGTTCTTGTTTAATTCTGCTCATCTCCATGGGAAAGTGGAACAGAATTCTTCCTCTGTAAGCCATGCGTGTCGTAAGAGGCAACTAACATGCCGTGAGCAAGGGGCTAGTAACCCCTTCTCCTAAATACATTACTAAAGTTAAAGAGAGAAACTGTTGTTTTACTTTTTGGGCCACCTTGCCTTTTTGGGATATGGCTGGTTTGTTGAAAGAAGAAGAAGTAATATATAAAGACTGGTTTATGAAGACTATACCTTGTGCAGGTACAGTATGTATATGAAGACTGGTTTATTACTAGATTATGGACAAAAAATTTTATCACATCTAAGAATATATAATTTGTTGCTAATAAAATAAAAATGCAAACTTTGGTATTACTGAAACATTCTTGGAAAAGTGTTAAGCCTGTAGGGAGGTCATACACTGCCTTGGAAATGGAGATAATCATATTTAATCCAAGGAAAGGGAGGATAGCTCCAATTACTTGGCTCAAGAGCCCTTCACAAGTATCAAGGTGTCTTTTTTGAAAGGGCACCTTCACATAGGATACTTTTAAGGTATTTTTACCATTAATTAAACTGTTGTATTATATTTAAGAATTCGATAATATACTCACCATTTAAATGTGATAAATAATCCACGTAAGCCATAATATAATCAGCATTGTCTGGAAACTTCTTGAGGCCAAGTTCAAATATCCTGAAGGCAATGTCTTTATTTTTGGTACAATAATACTCCATTAACGCAGCACCAACATAAACGTGAAACTGTGTACGAATATCTTCACGAGCCTTCTTGAACACTTCTCTTGTCGATTTAATGCCTTCCGCACGCCGCGCAAATTTCATATATTGAAGATAGGCCTGAAAAAAATATCAAAGCTAAAAACAAATATAAATATTAAAATGTAACTTTTGCAAAATATTTTGCTGATTTTATACCTAAATTCTCTTAATGTATCTTTTTCTAGTGACAGTAAAGTGTCAGAAGCCTTTGTTATTAGTTAAAGTCAATACCTTCATATCTGTCCTTTTTCTAAAAGTTGTATTATTTAATATCATACCACAGTTGTAATATCTTACAACTGTGAGATCTCAAAACATATCATTCACTTGCAGTCTTCCTCACTTGATGCAGTATATGTGTTCTTGAATCAAAGTGCACAAAGTGAACCCTATATACATTTTTTTTAACATGTCAGCTGTCTCGCACCGAGGCGGGGTGACCCAAAAAGAAAGAAAAGCCCAAAAAATGAAAGAAAACACTTTCATCATCATTCACACTTTCACCATCACTTGTACATAATCAGTATCTTTGCAGAGGCACTCAGATGTGAAGTTTAGATGTCACTCCAAACAGCCAATATCCCAAACCCTCTTTTAAAGTGCAGGCATTGTACTTCCCATTTCCAGGTCTCAAGTCTGGCTAACTGGTTTCCCTGAATCACTTCACAAAATATTACCCTGCTCCACTCCAACAGCCTGTCAGGTCCCAAAAACCATTCATCTCCATTTACTCCTACAAAACATAGGGAATCTTCCCAAGACTGCAAATTATCAATTTCTTGATTAACCCTTTCAGAGTTTCGGCCATACTAGTACGGCTTATGCACAAGTGTCCATGACGTACTACTATGCCTAAATTCTAGCGCCCTCAAATCTAGTGAGAGAAAGCTGGTAGGCCTACATATGAAAGAATGGGTCTATGTGGTCAGTGTGCACAGTATAAAAAAAATCCTGCAGCACACAGTGCGTAATGAGAAAAAAAAAAAACTGACCATGTTTTTGGATTAAAACAGAGACTTTGCACTGTATTTTCGTATGGTATTTATTGTTGTATTCTAGTTTTCCTGGTCTCATTTTATAGAATGGAAGACATATTACAGAAATTGAGATAATTTTGACTGGTTTTACAATGAAAAGTACTACTGTACCTTGAAATTGAGCTCAAAGTAGCAGAAATGTTCGATTTTTACCAAAGTTCAAAAGTAAACAAATCATGCTATGCGTCCAATACACTTCAACTGGTGAGTCTAATATTCTTTCACAAGTGCGCTGATATTATTTATACCATTTCTACACTAATGCAGTAGTCTGCATAATAGTAAATCTTCTATTTTTTTGTGAGAATAAAAATTCAAAGTGAAAAGCAAAAGAATGTAAGAGGGGCGTGGGGACATGACTAATGAACAGAGGAAATGTTATTTTAGTGCCAGGAATGTCTTTCTTGTTTATTCTGGACCCTATTTGGAAATTGGCATCTTTTGAAATTTGTGTGAGATTGGCAAAATTGCTAAATTCTGACCACTGTATTGGATAGTTGAAATCAGTAAATGGGTGGTTTCTTGTACTCATTCGATAGAAAAAATGGAGTTCTAGCGAAATAGTTATGATTTTTTGTCAACTAGTACACTGGAATTGACCGAAAATAGGGCTCAAAGTGGGCAAAATCGCCGATGCATAAACATAGTCGAAACCGCTAACTTCGCGAGAGCATAATTCCCTAAGTTTTCCATCAAATTTCATACTTTTCATAAGAAAAAATAATTTTTTTTTTTTTTGAAATTTGGGGGACCCTGAGAACAAGTCTCAGAGAGGGTCTGTGGACCCTGAAACGGTTAATACTTAACAAAAAAAACAAAAAAAAAAACACCACTTATGCTGCACCAAATGGTCAAATAAAAATTTTAACTGAAAAATAACTGAGAAAATCAAGTGAAAAATTCAGTCGTAACACAAAGGCTAAGAGTATCTACATTGACTTTCCAAACAAACAGGTAATAATAACAATAATTATTTTACCTCAGATCTACATCTGTTTGGTCTATGACTCTAACAGAGCTGTATAATAATAAGCTTCCAAAACAAAAATATAAATTATTTTGTTTTTTTTAACAAGTCAGCCATCTCTTACTGAGGCAGGGTGACCCAAAAAGAAAGAAAATCCCCAAAAAGAAAATACTTTCATTATCATTCAACACTTTCACCTCACTCACACATAATCACTGTTTTTGCAGAGGTGCCCACAATACAACAGTTTAGAAGCATATACGTATAAAGATACACAACATATCCCTCCAAACTGCCAATATCCCGAACCCCTCCTTTAGAGTGCAGGCATTGTACTTCCCACTTCCAGGACTCAAGTTCGGCTACATAAAAATAACCGGTTTCCCTGAATCCCTTCACTAAATATTACCCTGCTCACACTCCAACAACTCGTCAGGTCCCAAATACCATTCGTTTCCATTCACTCCTATTGAACATGCTCACGCATGCCTGCTGGAAGTCCAAGCCCCTCACCCACGAAACCTCCCTTACCCCTTCTTTCCAACCTTTTCGAGGACGACCCCTACCCCGCCTTCCTTCCCCTACAGATTTATACGCTCTCCATGTCATTCTACTTTGATCCATTCTCTCTAAATGACCAAACCACCTCAACAACCTCTCTTCAGCCCTCTGACTTATACTTTTATTAACTCCACACCTTCTCCTAATTTCCACACTCCAAATTTTCTGCAAAAGAAGAAAATTAAAAGTGAATACAGGAAAGAGTAAGGTTATGAGGATAACAAAAAGATTAGGTGATAAAAGATTGGATATCAGATTGGAGGGAGAGAGTATGGAGGAGGTGAATGTATTTAGATATTTGGGAGTGGACGTGTCAGCGAATGGGTCTATGAAAGATGAGGTGAATCATAAAATTGATGAGGGAAAAAGGGTGAGCGGTGCTATATTTATGTTGTTTTAATCTAAGTTCGAGACTTACCAGTTTGACCGTAATAAACTTTATCGCAAATTTTACAAGGAATCTTATAGACACATCCATCAGCATTTTGGGTGGAATTCTTTATCAAAAGTTTTTTTTACTGTACCAAGATTTTTAAATACAACTTTAATATTAAAAGTCTTAAGAAGAGAAGGCATATCAACCAAGTTTTCATGGTAAGGGAGAAGCAACATATTTTTAAGAAGAAATATCCAAAATTTATGAAATAGCCAATGATCTGAAATACCCGAGAAATGTAATTGATAAATCATTTAAAATTGCTAGAAATACTTTTTACAACCCAAAAAGAGACAACCAACCTTATTCAATTAAAAATATGTTGGTTCTCCCTTACCATGAAAACTTGGTTGATATACCTTCTCTTCTTAAGACTTTTAATATTAAAGTTGTATTTAACCCTTTGAGGGTCCGTCCCGTAGATCTACGGCTTTACGTTCAGGGTCCAAACCGTTTATCAGAGTGAGCTCAGCTCACTCTGATAAACTGTGAGTGGTACATTTGGGCCTAGATATGAGAGAATACATCTATGTGGTATGTGTGCACCACATAAAACAGATCCTGCAGCACACTGTGTATAATGAGAGAAAAAAACTGAAATCATGATTTTTCGATTAAAAGAGCGACTTTGCAGTGTTTTTGTCGTATGTTTTTTATAGTTCTATTTGCTATTTCTTGGTCACATTTGATAGAATGGAAGACATATTACAGAAATAGAGATGATTTTGATTGGTTTTTGCACTGGAAATGGCTTGAAACTGAGCTCAAAGTAGCAGAAATGTTAAATTTTTGCCGATATTCAAGAGTAAACAAACGACCTCACACGTCTAATACACGCCAGCTGGTGGGTCTAATATGCATTCACAAATATGGTGATGGTATTTATACAATTGTTACAGTATTGCATAACAGTAAATCTTCTATTTTTTGGTGTGAATAAAAATTCATTATGTGAATAAAAAATCAAAATGGAATTAATTTGTAAAGCCTCAAAACGTAACTAATGAACAGAGGAAATGTTAGTTTAGTTCCAGGAATACCTACATTGTTTATTCTGGACCCTATTTTGAAATTGGAATATTTTGAACTTTGTGTTAAATTGGCCAAATTACCAATTTCCGATCACTTTATTTTGTAGTTGAAACAGTTGACTTGGTGATTTCTTGTGCTCAATTGATAGAATAGAAGTAATACTAGTGAAATAGCTAAGAATTTGGTTGACTGGAATAATGTAATTGGCCTAAAATGGGAGTCAAAGTCGGCAAAATCGCCGATTCGTAAATATCGCTGACACATCAAAATTCGCGAGAGCATAATTTCGTCAATTTTCCATCAAATTTCGTACTTTTTGTTTTATTACCTTCACAAAAAGATTCTCTACCATTTCATAAGAAAAAATAACAATTTTTTTTTTTTGAAAATTCTTGGACACTGGGGCACCACTTCACATTTGGGCCTTGGACCCTGAAGGGGTTAAAAATCTTGATACAGTAAAAAAACTTTTGATAAAGAATTCCCGCCAAAATGCTGACGGATGTGTCTATAAGATTCCTCGTAAAATTTGCGATAAAGTTTATTACGGTCAAACTATGTTGTTTTAACCCTTAAAAGGTCCAAACGTATATATACGTTCACTCGCGTAGTGCCCCAAATTTTTTGAGAAAATTTTTTTTTTTAAAAGGAAAAAAGAGCATATGGTGCCCAGGCATCCCCAATTATTTTAATATGGCACACAGTGAGTGCACACACCCATTCTCTCATGTCTAGGTGACTCAGGCTTATCGTGGCAATGTTGAATGAATGACAAAGAAAACGCATATATACGTTTGGGGCGCTACTCGCGTGAACGTATATATACATTTGGAGTGTTTAAGGGTTAAAACAACATAAATATAGCATTAGAACTGGACAAGATTCCAATGCTCTATTTATTCATGTGAGAGACTTTAGCCATCCAATTGTTTTTCAAAAAGTTGAGAAAGTTGTATCAAGCAAGTCCATGGTTGACAGAAATATAATTGAATCTTGTTTCATAAAAAGCAGTTTTGAAAATAATATGAATATTTCCTTAGGTTTG